GAACCATGACAATGAGGTCAAGGACATTGGACATATGACAGTGCTCTCCCCAGGAATTTTGGATAGCATCACATTTGGCGTAAAAAAAAATTGTATTTATTTTTCAATGTCATTTGTTGCGTCGCGGCAATGCTCTCTTTCTTTTAAGTTATGTTGATTTTTTTCAATTCATAACTGAGAATACAATTAAAGTATAACTGTTCTTTTAGTTTATTTCTTTAATATTCATTTATAGTTACAGAATTATATTTTTCTTGTCAGAAACTACCAACTAAAAATCTAGTACAAAAGAGAACTTCTTTTATATCAAAAAGGAAAAGAAAGTATCATATAGTAATACCATTTCAATTAAAAACTATTCTGTTTATCATGTTTATGAAATTCATTATTTCCTGGGACTCAATGTATCAGTCTCAGTTGTTTCAAACAGATATATGTTTTTAACATTGTTAAACTACTTTAATCAGTAAATTAATTGAAACAATGCATTTACATAGAAATAAATATATTTTGCAAGGAGATCTAACAAATAGTCTGTAAATTCATGTGGAATGAGTAGCTTTCCCTATTGGGATCATTATTATTCTGTCAGCTGTGCCGTTTCTGTGTCTGTAGTTATTACCGTAAAAATGCGGATTTTGATCATAGTTGGTCCGCTTCCGATCCGTAATTAGTACAAATATATCAATGGCGGTCGAAGAAAAATTTACGAAAATAAACAATGTTTGAGAAGCGAATTGGATGAATATATCACGATTTTACTGTAATAAATAGATGAAACATTACCTAAAGGCAATTTTCATCACGTTCTAATGAAGTATAGAACTTATTTTGCCCAGAATCGAAATGTTTTATGTACGCTCTCGAGTACCGGAATGGAAAGAAAACACTTCCTTTACAAGTTGTTAGTTTGAAATAACAAACAACCAGCCTGTTAAGTTCGCTCGTTTTTTTTCTTTTTTTTCTTCTTCTCTTAGGAGACGAATTTGCCTTGATTCAAACGTAGATTTCGAATTGTTTATGATTTTCTCGATGTGAAAATTTTGCAATTGGGCCACGTGTTATCAGTCATGTCATAAGTGTCAGCTTGGGGTATTCGTATCCAAACAGTTATCACCCAAAGGGCAATTAACACCTATTTAATCAATCTTAATTGCCTCTTATGTCTGATTTGAAGGGATTACAATTAAAGGTGATATAATTTTTATGATCCTAAGCGGCAATTCTATGAAAGTTCGAAATTTAGGACATCGATAATGCGGCAGTGTATAGAGCAGACAAGAAAAAAATAGCGTCCTCAAAATAATTATAGCGTCGCGGTAAAAAATTATAGCATCGCGGGACCGGGATGCTAAAACGGCCTGGGGAGATCACTGCATATGACAGATAGAATCTTCGTAACATACAGTATCTGCATACAAGATATGAAGCATCCAGGTCTTCTATCTTCTGAAATATAAAGCTTTATACAAAGAGTTTACGCCGCCGCTGGATAGTAATACCTATGTCTCTCATACTGCGATAAAAGTCGAAGGAAGACAAAAAAGAAATAATTCAAAATTTCATAAGAACTAGTCAGTATTTTTAAAGTTTGTCATGGTTTATTTAATGTACACATATCAGAACAAGAATGTGTCCATAGTACACGGATGCCCCACTCGCACTATCATTTTATATGTTCAGTGGACCGTGAAATTGGGGTCAAAACTCTAATTTGGCATTAAAATTAGAAAGATCATATCATAGGGAAATGTGTACTAAGTTTCAAGTTGATTGGACTTCAACTTCATCAAAAACTACCTTGACCAAAAACTTTAACTTGAAGCGGAACAGACGCATTTTCTATGTTCAGTGGACCGTGAAATTAGGGTCCAAACTCTAATTTGGCATTAAAATTAGAAAGATCATATCATAGGGAACATGTGTACTTAGTTTCAAGTTGATTGGGCTACAACTTCATCAAAAACTACCTTGACCAAAAACTTTAACCTGAAGCTGGACAGATGGACGGACAGACGGAAGATTGAACGAACGGACGCACAGACTGAAAAACATAATGCCCCTAGGTGGGGCATAAAAATAATAGGCATATGGTTTGTTGGAAGATATTTTGAAGATTTATACCAGTTATTCAGCATGATATATAGAATTTGTTGTGTGTCTGGCAATAGATTTTGTTGTGTGTCTCAGTGAAAAGACAATTCAGAAATTTTCCTTCTTATGCTTCTGAAATGAGCAACAGAAAAAAAACTTCCAGAATCAGAGGAGATGTGTTTCAAGAACAACTTGATTGATACCAGGTATATGAAACTGAGAATTACATTTCTTTTTATATTCAATACTACTGAACTAAGCTCTTTTTTAAAATATGACACATGAGATGTAAGTTTACATCATTAAGCGCTAGCCCAATAATAAAATAAACTGTTGATACAGAGATATGTCTTGCCTTTATGAAATTTAAGATAGTATAATGCATATGTTGAAATTAAAATGGCAATACTTTAACATGGAAGCTATACTAAACATTCAAAGTCAACAAACTTTAACTGAAGGTACGTATACAGGGCCAAATAATCTCCATAGAAATCAGAACAGCTGATGTTTTTATAACTGTATACTAAACATCATTGACTTATCATAAGTGGTAAACTGACCTAAACACATTCTTTAACAAGTAAACTTTGCAAAAGTTTCAAAGTCAATGATCCATGACTTAGGTGACAGGGTCATATAATCTCCATCCAGGGCATTGAGATGTGCAAATACTAATACAACTGCATACCAAATATAATTGACTTACCATTAGCATGATTAGTGGTTTATCATTAACTGACCTAATCATAAACTTTAACATGCAATCTAGGCAAATATTTTAAAGTCTAAGACCATTACCATGATTACTGAGTGAGGAGGCAGTGCCTAATAATCTCCACCAATATTAGAAAATCAAATGTTACCACACCTCCATACCAATTATCATTAACTTACTAGTAGTGTTTTTTCTTCAACTGGCCTAATCACAAACTTTAACATGTAAACTAAGTAAAGTTTCAAAGCTGAGAGGACAGGGCCAAATAATTAATCTCCATAAAAATAGTATTTGTTAATGCTTATACAACGGCATACCAAATATCATTGGCCAACAACAAGTGGTTCCCCTTCAACTAACCTAATCACAAACAGTTAATTGTTTTACACTAGTCATTTTGGGACCCTTTATCATGTTTATAGCTTGCTGTTTGGTGTGAGCCAAGGCTCCGTGTTGAAGGCCGTACTTTGAAAAATAATTATTTACTTTTTACACATTGTGACTCATACCACATCTTCTTATTTCTACTTAAACAATGTTGACACAACAGTTTTTATAGGTCATTAATGGTACACTTCCAAAAACATAAACCTTAGTAAAGCCACTGAAACTTTGTTGATGGAATACAAAGATCAAACTTTATCTATAGGTCACTAATGGTACACTTCAGGAAACAGAACCTTAGTAAAGCCACTGAAACTTTGTTGATGGAATACAAAAATCAAACTTTATTTATAGGTCACTAATGGTACACTTCAGCAAACAGAAACCTTAGTAAAGCCACTGAAACTTTGTTGATGGAATACAAAGATCAAACTTTATCTATAGGTCACTAATGGTACACTTCAGGAAACAGAACCTTAGTAAAGCCACTGAAACTTTGTTGATGGAATACAAAGATCAAACTTTATTTATAGGTCACTAATGGTACACCTCAGGAAACAGAAACCCTAGTAAAGCCACTGAAACTTTGTTGATGGAATACAAAGATCAAACTTTATCTATAGGTCATTAATGGTACACTTCAGGAAACAGAACCTTAGTAAAGCCACTGAAACTTTGTTGATGGAATACAAAGATCAAACTTATCTATAGGTCACTAATGGTACACTTCAGGAAACAGAACCTTAGTAAAGCCACTGAAACTTTGTTGATGGAATACAAAGATCAAACTTTATTTATAGGTCACTAATGGTACACTTCAGGAAACAGAAACCTTAGTAAAGCCACTGAAACTTTGTTGATGGAATACAAAGATCAAACTTTATTTATAGGTCACTAAGACACTAACATTATTTAATAATAGACAATAATATCAATACTGTCATGAATGTCAAGCTCTTTAATTAGCTCATGGTGATCATTCTTATCATTAAACCCTTCAAGCAACAGAGGAAAACTCATGAATTCACAAGACCTTTATAGAACAAGAGTGCACACGCTGAAATGTCTCGCCTTCTTTACTAACCATTGATATTATGTTGATAGTCCTAAATGAAAGCTTTACTACAACTATTACATAAACTTAACATGATCTAAGAAAATGAAGTCAAGGTCATATAAACCAAACGAGAAATACATGTACACCTTACAATCATTCATTACACTAAATATAGTTGACCTATTGCTTATAGTTTCTAAGAAACAGACTTAACCAAGAAAACTAAACATTGACCAATGAATCGTGAAAATGAGGTTAAGGTCAGATGAACCATGTCAGGCAGACATGAACAGCTTACAATCCTTCCATACAACAGATATAGTTGACCTATTGCTTATAGTTTAAGAAAAACAGACCGAAACACATAAACTTAACACTGAGCAATGAACAATGAAAATGAGGTCACGGTCAAATAAAACCTGCGAGACTGACATGTACATCATAAAATATTTCCATACACCAAATATAGTTGACTTATTGCATATAGTATTAGAATAAAATGCTCCGCTGGGGCGCAGCTTGATACGACCGCAGAGGTCGAACCCTGAACAGTTGGGGCAAGTATGGACACAACATTCAAGCTTGATACAGCACTGAATTTGGATTGTAATTAAATATTTGACACAGCATAGGTTTCTGACACAGAATGAAAGTGGTCTAAAAACTTAAAAAATTTTAATTTACCTATTCAAACCATATCATTATTATTTGCTTTTATATATAAATCAGAAATAACCAATTTAAAATGTAAAATTTTAAAGAAAAAAAAGGAAAAAAAAATCCACCCCAAATTTTTTGAACCCCCTTATGATTCATCAACCCCAAACTCAATCCCAGCCTTCCCTTTGTGGTATGGTACCTTGCAGTACAATTTCAGAGAGGTCCATAAACTTGAACACAAGTTAGTGTCTGGAAACTAGAAAAATGCTTGTTTTTTTGCCCCTTTTTGGCCCCAAATTCCTAAACGTTTAGGGCAATTACCCCTAAACTCAAACCCAGCTTTCCCTTTGTGATATGGAACCTTGCAGTACAATTTCATAAAGATCCATACACTTACACACAAGTTATTGTCCTGAAACTAGAAAAATGCTTGTTTTTTTGCCCTTTTATGGCCCCTAATTACTAAAATTTTGAGGGAATTACCCCCAAAATCAATCCTAGCCTTCCCTTTGTGGTATGGTACCTTGCAGTACAATTTCAGAGAGATCTATACACTTGAACACAAGTTATTGTCTGGAAACTAGAAAAATGCTTATTTTTGGCCCCTTATTCCTAAACTTTTTGGGCAATTACCCCCAAACTCAATTCCAGCTTTCCCTTTGTGATATGGAACCTTGTTGTACAATTTCATAAAAATCCATACACTTACACACAAGTTATTGTCATGAAACTAGAAAAATGCTTGTTTTTTGCCCCTTTTTGGCCCCTAATTCCTAAAATTTGGAGGCAATTACCCCCAAAATCAATCCCAGCATTCCCTTTGTGTTATGGAACCTTGTGATACAATGTCAGAGAGATCCATACACTTACACACAAGTTATTGTCATGAAACAAGAAAAATGCTTGTTTTTTGCCCCTTTTTGGCCCCTCATTCCTAAAATTTGGAGGCAATTACCCCCAAAATCAATCCCAGCATTCCCTTTGTGATATGAAACCTTGTGGTACAATGTCAGAGAGATCCATACACTTACACACAAGTTAATGTCTGGAAGTTACAAAAATGCTTATTTTTGGCCCCTAATTCCTTAACTGTTGGTACCATAACCCCCAAAATCAATCCCCACCTTCCTTTTGTGGTATTGAACCTTATGGTAAAATTTCATTGAGATCCATTCACTTAAACTAAAGTTAGAGTGCGAAAACTAATGTGTCTTCGGACGACGACGACGACGCCAACGTCATACCAATATACGACCACAAAAATGTTTTTGCGGTCGTATAAAAAAGACCAAAACTCAAAAACTTAACTTTGACCACTGAACCATGAAAATGAGGTCAAAGTCAGATGACACCTGCCAGTTGGACATGTACACCTTACAATCATTCCATACACCAAATATAGTAGACCTATTGCATAAAGTATAAGAAAAACAGACCAAAACACAAAAACTTATCTATAACCACTGAACCATGAAAATGAGGTCAAGGTCAGATGACACAAGCCAGTTGGACATGTACACCTTACAATCCTTCTATACACCAAATATACTAGTCCTATTGCTTATAGTATCTGAGATATGGACTTGAACACCAAAACTTAACCTTGTTCACTGATCCATGAAATGAGGTTGAGGTCAAGTGAAAACTGTCTGACGGGCATAAGGACCTTGCAAGGTACGCACATACCAAATATAGTTATCCTTTTACTCATAATAAGAGAGAAATTAACATTACAAAAAATCTCAACTTTTTTTTCAAGTTGTCTTTGAACCATGAAAATGAGGTCAAGGATAATGGACATGTGACAGACGGAAACTTCGTAACATAAGGCATCTATATACAAAGTATGAAGCATCCAGGTCTTCCACCTTCTAAAATATAAAACTTTTAAGAAGTTAGCTTAGGCAGCCGCCGCCTCCAGATCACTATCCCTATGTCGAGCTTTCTGCAACAAAAGTTGCAGGCTCGACAATAAACTAGATATCATTGAGATGGGAGCCATCTCTGTGGGACCCACTGTGAATAATGTGTGTTAAAAAATTTGTATCTTTATCATTGGACATGGGGTTGTCAACTGAAACCAAAGTTTTTGACCTTGAACCTAGGAAGTTGTACATAAATTATGACACACCCTCTGGTGTTGGTTAATATACATGTCAAGTATAAACTTTGAAATCATAACGGTTCTCAAGATATAGAGCAGACACGATCTTTACCATAAGACATGGGGTTGTCAACTAAAACCAAAGTTTTTGACCTTGACCTTTGACCTAGGAAGTTGTACATACATTATGACACACCCTCTGGTGTTGGTTAATATACATGTCAAGTATAAACTTTGAAATCATAACGGTTCTCTAGATATAGAGCAGACACAATATGTTACGGACGGACGGACAGACTGATCACTATAGGGCGTCCTGCCGAATGGCGGGGCCCTAATAATTATATACTTACTAATGTTTAGTTCCTCTTTTTTTCCTTCCAAATTTTCAAGCTTTATGCACTATTACACACTTTGCTTCTGAAAAAGTTTAGAAATAAATAAAGTTTATTGACTATATTATAGTTCAATAATGAATTTAATTTTTTTCTACAGAACAAGAGTGCACACGCTGAAATGTCTCACCTGCTTTACTTGTCATGATTGAATTTATGTTGAAAGTCTTTAATACGAAGGTTTTACTACAAAGTATGACATAAACTTAACATTGAACATTGACCAATATACCATAAAAATGAGGTCAAGGTCAGATGAACCTTGCCAACAATATGTACACCATATAATCGTTCCATACTCCCAATACAGTGATATATATAGCAATAGCATATAGTATCTGAGATACAGACTTGATCCCAAAAACTTAACCTTCATCACTTATTCATGAATTGATGTTGAGATCAGGTGAACTCTGTCTGACGGACATGTAGACTTCCAAGGATCCCATATACCATATATAGTTCTATTACTCACAAGTGAGGAATCACATGACAAAACAAGAATGTGTCCATAGTACACTGATGTCCCAATCACACTATCATTTTCTATGTTCAGTGGACCGTGAAATTGGGGTCAAAACTCTAATTTGGCATTAAAATTAGAAAGATCATATCATAGGGAACATGTGAACTGAGTTTCAGGTTGATTGGACTTCAAAAACTAACTTGACCAAAAACTTTTAACCTGAAGCGAGACAGACGGACGAATGGGCGCACAGACTGAAAAACATAATGCCCATAAATGGGACATAAAAATAAACATTTTTTCAAGCAGTTGCTGAACCATGTAAATGAGGTCAAGAATGATGGACATATGACAGACAGAAAATTTGTAACATAAGGCATCTGCATACAACTATATGTACAAGGTATGAAGAATCCATGTCTTTTACCTTCTAGAATATAAAAACTTATACAAAGAGTTTATGCGGCTGCCGCTGGATAGCAGCTGCCACTGGATAGTAATCCTTATGTCTAACATTCTGCGACTTCTGCACTGCCTAACCATCAACAATGACAAATTGGATAGCAAAATTAATGATTTTCCTAAATCAAGTTTTTTTTTAGGAAATCCCTTATCTTCTACATTGAACAATTACTTTTTGCAACTAAACTTAAGATGGATCATAGTATGGGAGTTTTCTTGTAAAAAAGCAGAATACAATCAATCTAGATTTTCAAGGTAATTAGAAAATTTTGTGGCATAAATGCATTTCATTTGTAAGACTTCCTCTGAAATAAACAAATTAATGTGATTTTATCCTATTGTCATTAATGTTTTTGTACAATTGCAGTATATTTCTTTATTTATTCAAAGATATTATTGAAACTTGGTACATAACTTGGTATAACTCAATAATCAAAATCGTCTTGGTCTAAAAAGGTCTTTTCTTAAAACATTTTTGGAATTTTTAACAATAACAAACAAATAATTGACTATATTTTACTAGTGTGTCTCTAGTTCGATTGATGAAATGCAACCATAAACCTAATATACAAAGGTTCATGACAGTTTCACACTCAAAACATTCGAACAAAAGTTTAAAAAACTTCATGATGAAACAGATGAAAAAAAAAAAATGTGTCCATAGGATATGCCCCCCCTTGTAGATATGCAAGGTCGATGGATGTACTAATTCATACCTAATGACATTTTGCTTTCTTTGAAACTTAATGACTATTGTTTCTGTATGTTGTCATTAGAGATTGCTTGGGCCTTTGAGTGCTTTCATTGTTCAATAACAAACAATAATGGGGAAACTCGGGAACAGTTTAAGTTACACCACCCAAATTTTAACTTGATCTGTGTTTGGTGGTAATAAGCATTGTGTTTAAGTTTCATAACATTTGGTTGAGTTAGAGTTAGAGTGTGGAAACAGCAAATTTACCAATTTTTTCATTTATAAAGGGACATGACTCAAGAATGGTGAAAGTGATGCACCCAAATTTGAACGTGATCTGTGATTGGTGGTAATAATGTATAAGTTTCAGACAATTGGTTAAGGCAAACTAAAGTTAAACAAAAACCAATTTCTGGACGTACAAGGGTAAACCTTAATGGCTTGAGAAGGCACAAAATATCAATAAACAGCTGCGCCATGAGCGCATGATACGCCCGTCGTCTTGTGTGTGAATTTTTATGTAATAAGCATAAATAGTTTCTGACATACGGCGTGACATGCGAAAACCCTCCTTTTTTTTTTACAAAAAACTCAATATCTCTAAAATAAAATTTTGAATCAAAACCAAAAAGTATACAGATCTTTAGATTAATATAACTAAGAAGTGTGTAAAATTTTAAGCAATAATCATAAATCATTTTTGAGATACGGCGCGACATGTGAAAACCCCCCCTTTTAAAAAAAAAAAAATCAATATCTCAAAAATAAAATTTTGAATCAAAACCAAAAAGTATACAGATCTTTAGATTAATATAACTAAGAAGTGTGTAAAATTTTAAGCAATAATCATAAATCGTTTTAGAGATACTGCGTGACATGTGAAAAACCCCTCCCCCTTTTTTTACAAAATACTCAATCACTCAAAAATAAAATTTTGAATCATCACCAAAAAGTATACAGATCTTAAGGTTAATATAACTAAGAAGTGTGTAAAGTTTTAAGCAATAATCATAAACTGTTTTTGAGATACGGCGCGACATGTGAAAAACCCCTCCCCCTTTTTTAACAAAATACTCAATATCTCTAAAATAAAATTTTAAATCATCACCAAAAAGTATACAGATCTTAAGATTAATATAACTAAGAAGTGTGTAAAGTTTTAAGCAATAATCATAAATTGTTTTTGAGATACGGCGCGACATGTGAAAAAAAACACACACGTTTTAGTTACTAAGTCCCGTAACTCAAAAAGTTTTAATCTTATTTTCACCAAAAAGTATACAGATCGTTTGACCATCATAAGAAACAACTATGTTAAGTTTCATGAAATTTGGATAAGTCATTCTCAAGTTACGGTGCGACATGTTTACGCCGGACAGACAGACGGACAGACAGACAGACGACCGGACATTTGTATAACATAATACGTCCCGTCAAAAATTTGACGGGCGTATAAAAAGTCCAGACCTACCGTTCTTTTTTATTTGGAAATGCACCCAAAAAACATCTTCTTTTTTTTTTGCCTTCTGGCTATTCATATTTTGGAAAATTTGATTCATTTTTCATAAATATACGCTACTTCAAGTATAAAAGGTGTATTAAAAAAGTTTTTTAACTCTAGAGAAGTATCCTTTATTTGAGGGATAGTTACTGATTTGGGGAACTAATCCCCATTTGGCAGGTTGTCACCAAATTGAATGGTAAATTTCTCCAAAAAAAGGAGTGGAAAAATCCAAAGATATAGAAATGAAATTTACCTACATGTAACTCAGTCAGGGGTTATACTTAAACAAGTGGATTTTTTCTAATTACTTCTTATTCTTAACATGCTTAAGGTAGAGTTATATCCTGTAGACATTAAATTTGTTTACTTAAATATTAATAAATAAAAGTAATATTTTCTTTCTTTTTTTTTAATATTTTTTGAAAACATTTCTATAAATGAGTGTTGAATTGTCTGCCATTAATAAGATGATGATGATGATGAAGGATTGCTGCTTAAATTCCAGCGTCAAATTAATATATGCATATTTTTAATGTGCTAGTTCACAAGGTAATAGTCCGCAGGAAGACATATCACCTTATCCGGACACATGATTCTAACTCCGAGCTGACCAGTCTTTGCTCTTACTCCTTAATGCTGCATGCTTAGTGGAGAAGCAGCAAATACCAATTTTAAAGTCTTTGGTCTGACCCGGCCCGGGTTTAAAACAACAACCTCCCCAACTCAAGGCCAACACGCTACCACAAGACAACAGACGCAGTTCTGCCATTAATAGTTGTCTTAACTATTCATAAGGCCAAAAATAAATATTATTTGTTTCCCTTTTTCCCTACCAGGTATTGGTAGGTAGGTTGGAAAATAATTATATTTTTTCCCCAAAAAAACGAAGTTTGTACATGGAAACTGTATAATGGAAAGGAGGAATTTTCACTGACATATACTGATTTAATGTTGCCATCTTAACATTTTGTACTTTAAGGTTCAGTAGTTAACTTAAACCAATGTGGTGGCATTAATATGGTGCACAATATACAAGTGCTTTTAAAACTGATCATTCAATGCTAAAAATAATAATTAAAAAACTTAATACTTCCAAGTCAAAAAGAAAGAAAAAGTTCAAGGCATGTTACATCAAAAACTTCAAATAGAATGAGATGATGCAAGTACTTGAAATGTTAGCAACATGGACTTCAGATATAAAGCATCAAAAGATAAAATAGTTTCTTTCACTAACATGCATTCATTGGCATTGTTGGCATTGACAAGGCATCAGGGATACTTTTATCATTTCATTTCTTTTGAAATTCAATAAAAATTTGTCATTGTCAGCTTTATTCTATCTAATTGGCCTTGGGTTTCTTTAGGGATTGATGAATTTAAGGAAGCCTGTTTTTCCCAATTTACATGAAATAAAATACTTCGCTGAGCGCAGCCTGATACGGCCGCAGAGGTCGAACCCTGAACAGTTGGGGCAAATTTGGACACAATATTCAAGCTTGATACTGTCTGAATTTGGATTGTGGTTTCTGACACAAAATAAATGTGGTCAAAGATCTTATAAATCCATTGCGCAATACTGTGCAATTGAAGATTTCTTCTTGAAACTTTTCAAAAATTCGTACTTTTTAAAAATTTTGAAAAAAAAATATGAATCCCTTAAAAAAATTGGGAAAAAAATCCCCCTTGGAGCAATAACCCCAAAACTCAATCCCAGCCTTTCCTTTGTAGAATGGAACCTTGTAGTATAAATTCAGAGAGATCCATACACTTACACACAAGTTATTGTCTGGAAACTAGAAAAATGCTTGTTTTTGGACCTTTTTTGGCCCCTAATTCCTACATGTTTGGGGCAATTCACCCCAAACTCAATCCCAGCCTTCCCTTTGATATATGGAACCT